ACACGCGCCCTATCGAGGATGCCTGGTTGCTGCAGTCTGGCCAGAAAGCCACAGACTGCGACGCCTACTCTGATGAGCTTGCTGCTGCTGCTGCTGATGGAGGAGACCTCTACACTTTTTCTGTCTCCCGCCGTCCCCCTGCATACAAGGGTCACGTCAGCACGGGGCAGCTGGAGCAGCAGTTTCTGCTGCCTCGCTGCTGCGGAGCTTGCACAGAAGGTCCGAAGCGCCGCGCTGCAGCAGGTGCAGCAGCAGCAGCAGCAGCAGCAACAGGCACGGACCTGGGGAACACGCCCCCTGCTGCTGCTGCTGCTGCTGCAGAGCTTGCATGTGTCCAGCGCCTCGACCCTGCTGGGCGTGTGCGGCGGTGTCTTGTGCGGCCTGTTGCTCAGTGGGAGGGCAGCAGCGAAGGGGAAAGCGATTCAGACTTGCAGCAGCAGCAGCAGGAGCAGCAGCAGCAGCTGCTGCTGCGACAGGAGTGGAGACGGGGAGATGTTGATGCAGACTCGTTAGAGAGCTGGACAGACAGAGGCTCAGACGGAGAGATGTCTGATCGGCAGCAGCAGCAGCAGCAGCAGCAGCGTGTGGTGATAGCAGTGATGCGGCGGCGTCCTGCTGCTACGACTGCTGCTGCAGCAGCACGACGGTCTGCTGCTGCAGCATCCAGTGCAGAGGAAGGGGGAGAGCAAGATAGAGACAGCGAAGACTCAGAGACAAACGGGTCCTTAAGAGAAGCAGATCTGCAGCTGCTGCTGCCGCTTGAGGGCGAGACCTGGGCTGATGGTGCTATAGAGCTGGAGAGCGCAGATGCAGTGACATTGCTGCGGCTGTTCCGGGGGGTGCTTGATGACAGCAGCAACGCCAACAGCAACAGCAGCAGCAGCAACAGCAGCTACAGCAACAGCAGCAGTAACACCAACAACAACACCAACAGCAGCAACAACAACAGCACCCCTAGCAACAGAAGCAGACGTAACAGCGGCACCCGCAGAGCTGTAAGGCAGCAGCAAAGGCAGCAGCAACAGCAGCAGCAGCAGCATGAAGAGTCGGAAGACGCTGCTGAATCAACAGAAGAGGATGGGGAGGCTACGGAGGCTGAGGCACGATCCATTCTTCGTCAGCTTCTTTCTGCTGCTGCTGCTGCTGCTGCAGGATCCACCACAGAAGCTGCAGCACAAACAGGAGCGACACGGGTGCTGCGCGTTGTCGGTGTTCGCCGTACCCTCCGCAGGCCTCGCACTCCCAGCAGCAGCAGCCGCAGCAGCAGCAGCAGCAGCAGCGACAGCTACGTCAGCAGCAGCCGTACAAGGTACCCCGACCGCCGGCTGCGTGGCGCCTGGGGTGACGGCGGCGACCGATCAGCAGCAGCAGCAGCAGCAGCAGCAGCAGCAGGGGCCGTTACTGGAGGGGCCCCAGGCAGCCTATGGGAGGCTGCTCTGGCGCGCAGACAGCTGCGAGCTGCTGAGCCGAGTTTAAATCTTGAGGAGGTGCAGAGCGCAGGAGAAACTGTCTCCGATTGGGAGGGTCCGATGGGTCGCTGGGGAGACAGGGGGCCTCCATCGCGCAGCAACAGCAGCAGCAGCAGCAGCAGCAGCTGTGCTGGCGGTAGCTGCCTTCTCTGTGGCTCCCCCTTGTGGAGACCTTCTGTAGTCACAAGACTAAGAAGCTCTCCTTCTGGTGTGCGGCCGCTACCTGCTGCTGCAGCGCCTCTTCCAGCCCTTCCTACTGGGCTTCCTGCTTCAGCGGAAGCAGCAGGGCTAGCATCAAACGAGCAACAGCAACAGCAGCACCAGCAGCAGTTGCTGCAGCAACAGCAACACCGACTCTTCGTGGAGCCGAAGATGGAAAGGCGCAGCAGCGACAGCAGCAGCTGCAGCAGCAGCAGCAGCAGCAGCGGCGATGGGCCCTACCGTAGGCTGCGGAGTTCCCTACGCGGCTATCCGACTTCCGTAGGCACAACTGCAGCAGCAGCAGACGCTGTGGTTGCTGCTGCAGCAGCTGCAGCAGGTGCTGGGGGTGGCCAGGAGCCTTTGCGGAGGGCTTTGAGTGACAGTGAGTGCGTGCCGCAGCCGTCCGCCCGCTGGCAGCAGCAGCAACAACAACAGCAGCAGCAGCAGCAACAGCAGCAGCATTCCCGTTTGAGGAGGAGACACACAGGAGGCTATCCAGCTGTCCGGCGAGTGCATCTGCGTCTGGCAGCAAAGGCGCGGCTTTGCCGTTTGCTGCTCTCTTGCTACAGTCTTCAAGGAGGAGACACCTCAGGCAGCTTGGGGGCCCCTACTGGGGGCCCCCTAGGCCTCTGCTGCCGCTGCGCTGGTCTGAGTGTATCATCTTCAGGGTCACGGCGAGCAGTGGGATGGCCGTCAGGCGCAGCAGGTGGTTCACGTGGCGTTGCAGCAGCAGCAGCAGCTGCTGCTGCTGCTGCAGCTGCTGCAGCAGGAGGTCCCGCCGCCTCGGCAACAGGAGCAGGAGGCGGAGCTGCTGCTGCACGAGTGCCTTATTCTTTGTCTTGTATAGAGGAATGCTTGTATGGAGATGATGCCTTCAGCACCGCCCCCTTTGGGGGCCCCGCTGGGCAGCTGCTTGTACGCTGTCCCCGCTGTGGAGGCCGTCTGTGTGGGGTGAGGCCCCCTGAAGCAGAAGGCAAGTGGCGCTGCGACGGGCTTAACCCTGAAGGAAGATGTGCAGCAGGTCTGATGGAGTTCCGCTCCTGGACAGGCGCACAGAGACATCGATGCAAGTGAGAAAAACAGCAGCAAAAGCAGCAGCAACAGCAGCAGATGCAGCAACAAAAGCTGCAGCAGTAGCATTTTTGGGGGGTGTGCGCTGCTGCTGCCTTAGGTGTGTGTGTGTGTGTGTGTCTTCACCTTGATGCCTGTTATTTATTTATTTTATCTCTCCTTGTTGCTGTCTTTGCGCCTGTGCTGCTGCTGTGGTAAGCTGCCTGTACAGTGTGCATGTGGGGTGTCTCCGTGTGTCTCCTTCTGTCTTCTCTTTTTTGTTTAGAATTGATGACTTCGATTACTGCCAGGCCTGCCACATCTACAAGGCGGTGTTAAACAGAAGAAAGTCTGTCTGGCGTGTTGATGGTAGCCGCACTCTGCTGCTTCCCGAGGACCCCCCAAGTGTACATAAAGGGCTATTCGTCTGGCAGCAACCTGCTGCTGCAGCTGCAGCAGCAGCAGCAGCAGCCGCTCCCGGTGGTCCTCGCGATGCCTCGGCTGCCGATGCAGACTCAACGAGTGCTAGCTGCAGCGCCGGCCCCAGCAGCAGCAGCAGCAGCAGCAGCAGCAGTGAAGGGCCAACAGGCCTTTGGGGCGCACTTCGTGCAGATGCGTTACGGCCGCTGCCTCCTCCTGATGAGAGGGTAGAGGAGTTGGTGGCGAGCCGACTGCAGGGGGGCCCTGAAGGTGCTGCTGCTGCAGGTGTGCTGCTGTGTCTCCCCAGCAGTCTGGTGTCTCCTCAGCCCCCCAAGGGGAACCCTGCTGTTATTCAAGCCATTGAGGCCCCCGCTTCGCTGCCGCCTCTCAGCAGACAGCAACTTACTCGGCTCAACTGTACACGCTTCTTCCCCCTGTATCACAAAGATGCAGAGACACTGCGGGTAGAGGGCCTTAGAAGCCCTAACGCCAATTTCTTAACCCTCATCTTAATCTCAGACGAGAATGTATGGCCCCTTGTTATACAGGCCCGCTTCCAAGACACCCCCAGCAACAGCAGCAGCAGCAGCAGCAGCAGCAGCGGTGGCGGAGGGGGTAGGAGCCTCGGAGTTGAAGATGGGCAGCTGTTTGCTTCTGCTGATTGTCTCCTTGTTAGCAGCTATGTGAGGGGACACTGGCGCGGCAGCGCCAAGACTGAGCGCGCTAGGCGGTCGCCTTCACCCCTCAGAGGAGCTGCTGCTGCTGCTGCACATCAGACCTCTTTAGACCCTGACAGCAGCAGCAGCAGCAGCAGCATGGAGGAGGGGAGGTGGTATGTGGATATACACCGGGTTGCTGGCCCTGGTGGAGGCACGCTGCGCTTCAAGGGGACAATTTGTGTGAATGGCGAAGTACATTACTGGCGTTTGGTGTCTCCTGTAGCAGCAGCAAACCCTCCTCGTTTTGTTGCAGTAGGTGGGGCTGCAGCAGGCCGCAAGGATATGGCTGTTTACTTCTCCTCTCACCTGAACAGACACCTCGAGCTGCTGCTGCCGCACACGCTGCAGCAACTCCACAAGTTCATCTTCGCTGATCCTAACGACTGTGTCTCCCCAGTGCCCCCTCCCCACGCTTCCTGCACGGCTCCGGCCACGGCAGCAGCAGCAGCAGCAGCAGACCAGCAGCAGCAGCACGAGCAAGAAGTCCTTCGATTGTGTACAGAAGCCACGAGGAGTGCGCTGCAGCAGCAACCGTTGCTGCAGGTGCAGCTGCCGGTCGACACGCAGCAGCGGCAGGCTCTGACAGCAGCAGTTCGTTGCTTCCAGTGGGAGGCAGCAACGCAGGCTCAGAACCTGCTGCTGCAGCTGCTGCTGCAGCAACCCCGAGCTGCGCTGCCTCTGTGGCCGCAGCTGCTGCGGACTTTCGCTGATCTTGTTAGGGCAAGGCCTTCCCTTCGAGGTGTTGTTGCAGAGCTGCTGGTGCGGGTATTGCGTGCAGCAGATGCAGCAGAACAACTGCCGCCTCCCCTCCACCAGCAGCAGCAGCAGCAGAAGCAGGAGCTGTTGCTGCTGCAACAGCAAGCTCGTTTCTGGGCGGTGGTGCCGCGTTCGTTGCCCGGTGTACGTTTAGGTGCGGAGCTGCTCATACAGCTGAGGAGCCTTTGCTTGCTGGGGCTGATGTCTGTGGGGTTGCTGGACCTTCACTTCAACTCAGAGTTTGGGGCCTTTAGGGAGCTTGTGGAGGCGCGGGAACGGCAAGAGGGGGTAGATGAAGCAGCAACAGCAGCAGCGGCAGACGCAGATGCAGGTGCGGACGGAGCAGCAGCAGAAACAATAGCCGCAGCAGGGGATGAGGCTGAGGAGGAGACAGCGGAGCTGACAGCTCCAGAAGCAGCACGAAGCGTGCTGCGGCAGGTAGCATCAGAGCTGTTGCACCCGCCTCCCCGATCCCCACCTCGACCACTGGTCCTCTCGCAGACAGTCAATGGGAGGTCCAGTGGTCAGCAGCAGCTGCTGCGGCGTTGTGCTGCCTCCACCCCACCGCTAGTGGGAGTCGATCCCGTTCGCCTGTCGCGCCAAGGCTTCCTAAACCCTGCTCTGCTGCTGCACGAACTTGGGCGTGAGACCCGTCACCCGTACAGCCCAGTTGCTGCGTTCACCGCTACTGCTGAGGCCTCTGTACCCTACAGCTGGGCCACTGCGGGGGGCAAACAGCAGCAGCAGCAGCAGGAGCAGCAGCAAGAGCAACAGCAGCTGCAGCACGAAGGCGCTACGTACTCAACCGTCCTTCGTCCTGAAGACGCCAGCAGCAGCACCAGCGACAACACCAACAGCAGCAGCAGCAGCAGCAGCGAAGAGGGTGCTTTCTGCTTGGGCGAGTCTCCTTTATGTGGGGGGGAGTTGTCTCCTGGCTTTGCCTGGGCCCGGGGCTGCGTCCTTCGCTTCTGTCGCCTCAGCGGCACTCGCCTTGGAGATGCTCTCAGGTTTTACTCTCAGGGAGAAGCTGCATGCGTTGCTGCATATAGGTAGGTAGCTCCCAGTCATATTGCTGCTGCTGCTGCTCGGGTAGTACCCGCTCCTGCTGCTGCTGCTGCTGCTGTTGCTTGAGCCGCTCCTTTAGTGTGAATGAAATGCCCTGTACAAACGTGTCTATAGTAGAGGCGTCGCAAGTGGGTTGTGTGGTCCTTCTGTGTTTGCTGCTGTGCGTGCAACAGCAGCAGCAGGCACAGCAGCAGGTTCATCAGCAGGTGCTGCAGTTGTTGCTGCTGCAGCCCCGTGCATATATTGCGTTGTGTTATGTTGTGCTGCGGTCTATATCGCATGCAGCGGGAGTTCGTTGAGGGTGTGGGGCCGTCCTTTGGTGCTGCCTGGCTTTGCCTTCGATTGCTGCTTCTCTTCATTCGGTCTCTGCAGCAGCGCAGCTCCGCTGCCGGACCCTGCGTCCCCCAGTGACGGCCCAGGAATGTGGCTGTCACCAGATCTAACAAGCCCTCTGCTGCCTGCAGATGGAGGCTGCCCACAGGCTGCTGCAGCCTCAGCAGTTGCTGCGGAAGCTGCAGCAGCAGCAGCAGCAGTAGCAGCAGCAGTAGCGTCAGGAGACGGATTCGCTGAGGCCGCCGTTAGGGATCCAAGTTCAGCAGGCGCCGCTGCAACGGATCTTTCGGGCGGTGCAGCCGCAGCAGCAGCAGCAGCAGCAGAAGCAGCAGCACGGCAGGCAGCGCGTATTGCTGAAGAGTATATGCAGCTGGAGCATGTTAGTGACCAACCCAGCAGCACCAGCAGCAGCAGTAGCAACAGCAGCAGCAGCAACAGCAACAGCAGCAGCAGCAACAGCAACAGCAGCAGCAGCAACAGCAACAGCAGCAGCAGCAACACAGCAGCAAGCGGGATTTCAGAGATCGCGTCCCCCAGCCTCTGGGGCTGGAAGTTCTGTGTCTCTGCTGCCACGCGGCAGGAGCTGTTCAATGCATATGCAGCAATTGGGCCTTCGCACTGCTGCAGCCCTGCTGCTCTTGACCCTTTGCTACCCGACCCTGAGGCAGCAGCAGCAGCAGCAGCAGCGCAGCAGCAGCAGCAACAGCAGCAGCAAGGTGTCTATGATGCATTGGCCCACTCCTTTTCCCCCGTGCTTAGCGTAGCGCTGCTGCAGTTTCTGGTGTCGGACTTCTCGCAGCACCCAGAGGTGCTTGCTGCTGCCCGAAAGAACCCTCAAGTTGCTGCATCTTTGGGGGCTGAGGCTGCAGCAACAGCTGCAGCAGCTGTTGATGCTGCTGCTGCTGCAGGTACTGCGGCAGCAGCAGACGATTGCTGCAGCAGTCTTGCTCTCGTGCCTGCTGCTGCATTTGATCCCGCGCTCTTCCTCGGGCTGTTAGGGGCTGCAGACGCGATGGCTGCTGTTTCTCCTTTGCCGCTTCAGGCCTCCGCGCTTGCTATTGCTAGGAGTTTTGTTGAGGTACTTTGGTGCTGTTGCTGCTGCTGCTGCTGCTTGCACTGCTGTTGCTGCTGTTGATGCTGTTGCTGCTCCTCCTGCCTCATCGAATGCTGCTGCTTTGTTTGCTGTGGGGTGTTCAGAATGCGCCGTGGCTGAGTGCCAACGGCTCTAGCGCCTTGGCGGTCGCTTGCTGCAGCAGCACAGGAGCAGCAGCAGCAACAGCACCAGCAGCAGCACCAGCAGGAGATGGCGGTGCCTTGCCTGTTTCTTGTATTCCGCCTCGGCCGTTGATAGCTTGTGCTGCAGAGGCGAGCTTGCGGCGTCGCGTTGCGTGTCTTTGTCTGTGGCTTGCATCAGATATGATAAGTTCAATTGATATGTCTTTGCGGCTAGATATATTTGAAGGGGAGTTGGGGAGGCCCTCTGGGGGCCCCTTCTGGGAGGAGACTCTGCTGCGGGGCTGCTCGTTCCTGTGGCTGCCCGCACCCCTCTTGTTTGCTGCTCAGACAATCGCCGTGCTGCTGTTTGCTGCTTTAGGGGAGGATGCAGTGCAGCAGCAGCCCGCAGCAGCAGCAACAGCAACAACAGCAGGAGCAGCAGCAGAAAACGAAGTAGAGACAGAGGCCTGCAGCATACGAGAGGAAATAACAGGGGCCTTAGCGCAGCTACTTGAGCTGCGGGCGCACCTCCACCCATTAACATGTGAGTGGAAGCTTATACAAAGTATGCATCAGCATCCTATAGAGCGTCTTGCTTCATTTTTATCAGAGTTGCTGCTGCGGCTATATGCGCTTGGGGGGCTGCAGCAGATGCAGGCGTTAGCAGCAACGAAGAAATCCGCGACAGCACCTGCTGCTGCTGCTGCAGCAGCAGCAGCAGCAGCATTGAACCCATTTGGGGGGGACAACACGTGGCCGGCAGCAAAGGCACCCCTTCAACGTGTGCTGCTGCTGCTGGGCAGAGACGCGCGACGATTGCAGAGGAAGGCTTTGGCATTCTCCCAGTGCTGCTTCAGCAGCACGCACCTGAAGCTGCAGCCGCAGCAACCGCTGCAGCAACAGCCACACCAACAGCAGCAGCAGCAGCAGGTCCTCCAGCAAGGCTCTCCGGCGACAGCAGCAGGACCTTCTCCTCCGCTCGTAGAGAGCGAGCACCAAACGCATCAGCCGGTTGTCTCAAGTGGCAGCAGCAGCAGCACCAACAACAGCAACAACAACAACAACAACAACAACAGCAGCAGCATTGTGGGGAAGGGTGGAGTAGAGTGTCTAGTAGTCCCCAGCCGTCTGCCTCAGGGCCATCCTTTGGAGCTGATGCGGAGTGTAGGGCATTTGTTTGTGCGTAGTTCTCATCCATACGCACGGATGGTTGCTGCAGCAGACAGGCCTGACGTCCCTGAAGCAGCCTATGTCCAGCAGCAGCAGCAGCAGCAGCAGGATAGGGAAACAACAGGGCAGCAGGAGTTGATGGATAGGCTGCTGCTTGTACACCCAGATGCAGCAGGTGTATCCGTTACCTTCGGTGTACCCCACAGCGATTTGTCTCCTTGGCATTTGCTGTCAGTGGAGGCTTTACCCCTTACGGCTTCGAGGCAGCAGCTGCTGCGACGTGTTGTTGCTGCTCAGCACGCTTTAGAAAGCCTAGACGCGACGACGACGGCCACCGGTGCTGCAGCAGCAGCAGCAGCTGCTGCTGCTGCAGGGTTCTTTGTTGCTCCTCCCTTGCGCACAGACCTGCCTGAGGACGGGTCGCAAGCAACTACAACAGCAGCAGCAGCAGCAGACATCCGCAGGGCTCTAGCAGCAGCAATTGAAAAGGATATCAGAGACTTGTGCGGAGATGAAGCAAGCTGGGCCCCAGCATTGGAGATCAGCAGCGCATGGAGTGCCCCCACATGGTATGGTGCTGATTACTCCCTCAGCTGTACAGACACCTCAGTGGCCAAGCATTTTGCTTTAGGGCATTCTCCTGCAGGGCCAGCTGCTGCTGCTGCTGCAGCCCTTCCTCCTGCAGAGGCTGCGCCTGGAGATACGGACGCCGCAGCATCTGGTACCTGGAGACAGCAACAGCAGCATCAGCAGCAGCAGCAGCGGCAGGTTGTGTCTTGTTCTGCTGGCTGCTGCAAGGGCTTCCCCGTAGTACCAGGCGCTGTTCTTCGAAGGCTTAGTGTTAATGAGCAGCAAAGGCGAATGCAGCAGCCGCTGCAGCCGTGGCAGCAACAGGTGGCGGTTGCTGAGGAGAGCGACGCGCTGCATGCAGGCGGTGGCAGCAGCAGCAGCAGCAGCCGCAGCAGCAGAAGCAGTGGAGGCCCTTCTTCGAGCACCAGTCCTATGAGTCTCCTCGACAGAGCAACGAACCAACTTCTGCGAATGCTACGTGGCAGCAAATCTGCAAGCAGCAGCAGCAGCACAGCAGCAGATGGGGATCAGCAGCCACGCCCCGTGCAGCTGCCTCAGCGGGAGCGTCATGGAAGCGTTGGCGAGGCGCGTCGCCGTTCCGGTGTGGGTGCAGCAGCAGCAGAAGCTCCAGCAGCAGTAGCACCAGCAGCAGCAAATGCTTCCGCTGCACCTTGCGGCAGCAACGAAAGCAGCAGCAGCAGCAGCATAGGCAGCGCCTGCGCATTGCCTTCTGCTGAGCCCAGCACCGAGGAGGTTATTCATCTCCTTTCAGGGGCCCTTATACCCCGTGATGCATTTGCATTAGATGGTGTATGGAGCGTTGATCTCCGAGTGTTCTGGAAAGAAGACGCATGGGGGAGGCCCTTAGATGCTGCAACTGCACGGGCCCTTCCCTTTAGAGAAGCAGGGCCTCCTCATCTACGCAGGAGCAGCAGCAGCAGAGGTCGAAGCAGCAGCAGCAAAAGAAGCAGTCTTAATGCTGTGAACATCTGTGGACCGGAAATAGGATTGGTGCCGGTGGCGTACGGGTTTCCTTCCAAGAGCACACGCTGCAGCAGCAGCAGCAGCAACAGCAGCAGCAGCAGCAGCAGCGATACGGGGTCATCGCCGCCGTCTGCCAAACGTGCAGGGCACGAAGAAACATGTCCCCTGATCCCTGGACCAAGTGAGCGTTTCTTCCTTGTCTCGTGCAAGACCGACCTTGTGAGGGACCAGCAGCAGCAACAGCAGCAGCATCCGCAGCAGCACCAACAAGCAGCATGCGAGCTGCTGCCTGTGCGGGAGGGCCTTCACCTTGCAGAGGGCGAGGCTGAGGAGGGTGTCGCAACCCACCTTGTGGAAGACGTCGGCCGAGTGGAGCAGCTGCTGCTGCATGCATACAGTGCAGCAGATATGATGCCTCTAGGCTGCGCCCCATGGCCTTCAGAAGAACGAGTGCATCAGCTGTCTGTACACCCCATCATCCCCTTAGTCAAAATAGGGGACCCACGTTCTCAGGTTTCGCGCCTGCAGAAGCTTGGAGCTCTCAACCAGCAGCAGCACCAGCATACGCAGCAACGCCATCAGCCGCTGCGGCAGCAGCAGCAACAACAACAGCAGCAACAGCAACAGCAGCAACAGCAACAACAGCAGCAGCAAGGGACAAGTCAAACATATGGCGGAGATCTCACAAGAACAGTGCTGTCTCTGTTGGATCGTATGGGGGGCCTCACCAACTCCCGCCCCTCCACTTCGGCTGCTTCTGCTGCAGCTGCTCCAGCATCTGAGGCCCCGTTGCAAGCTCCGCGCTTGGCCCATGGCAGCAGCAATAGCAGCAGCAGCAGCAGCATCAGCAACAACAGTTTGTGTTGGCATAGGTTTGTTCCTAGCGGTACAGTTGATGGCTGGGGCGACTTGCGAGGCGTGCGGAGCTCCTTTGATGATACTGAGAAGGTTTCTGTGGAGGCATCAATCCTTGGTGACGTGCAGATGCTGTTTATGCAGCCATCTGGGGAGCTGCTGCAGCAGAGTGTGCATGCAGCAGGCGACGGCGAAGCAGCAGGAGACGGAGAGACTGTTAAGGAGACAATCAAGTGCTGCTCAGCCATTCTGTCTCTTCGGGTTGAAGTTGTCCTCAGCCAAACGAGGCTCATCCGCCTTAAGGAGGCCCACAGCGACTTTGCTGCAGTGAAGCAGCAGGTGCGGCGAGTGCATCAGCAGCAGCAGCAGTAGCAGTAGCAGCAGCAACCTTTATCATTCATTATCTGTTATTCTTTTGTGTCTCCGCTTTCTGTCGGACTCCTTGTTGTTGGTCTGCCTGCCATATCTCCTTGCCGTCGTCTCCGCAATATATATTACTCCTTTTAGTGTTCATGCTGCACCCCATTTGAGCCTCACGTGGCTTTGCTTTTTGTCTGTCTCCATCGGGTCGTTTTCTGAATATCTCCTCGAAGCTTTGCTCATCACCGTTGCTGCCTTTCTCCCCTCTGTTGCTGTTGCTGCTGCTGCTGTTGTTGCTGCTGCTGCAGATGAAGGAACTGGTTGCGCCCGTGGTGAAGTCGGCCAATCCTCCACACCCTGAGGACCGGGTGGCTGTACAGCGCATGCACTTGCTGCTGCAGCAGCTGCGTCGTTCGCGCCGCCGGGTGCAGCAGCTGCAGCAGTTGGGGCATGAAGACACGATTCGGTTTACTCTAAAGGTGCAGCAGCAGCAAGGGGAGCAGCAGCAGGACGGGCTGGCTTTTGACGTGCCGCTGGAGCCTCTTAAGGTCTCCCATACACTCGGAGAAGTGCGCAGGCTTCTAGGCGCAGGAGGGGGCCTTGCTTTGGTTCCAGGCATCCGCCTCGGTAAGTCTAGAAAGTTCTTAGGTGTATATTTGTCTATTTATTTTTCTTCTTTTCTCTGATTTAGGGAGCTTGTTCGCTGCACCACATTCCCCCCATCCTGTGGCTACTCTGCTGCTGCTGCTGCTGTTGCTGCTGCAGGACCTGCTGTATGTAAGGTGGAGGCGCTGCGGGTGGTGCAGCCGTACCCACAACCCCTTAACCCTGAGCTATGGAATGCGAACGGTTTCTTCGCAGCCAACTGCGCAGCACTTCGTTTCAGGCTGCAGCAAACGCCATACCGGACTCATGCCAATTGGGTTGCATGCAATCACCTACCTGCCGATGCCTTCTTCCCTCCTCAACAAGCTCACACTCATGATGACCAGACCCAACAGCAGCAGCAGCAACAACAACAACAGCAGCAAGAGCAGGGGGCCGAAACCACTGCAAGCCCAACGAGTACTGAAACGAGCGACGATCAGGAAAGTATCGGAGATGCAGCCATTGATGGAGGGAGACACGGCGGCAGCAGCAGCAGCTGCAGCAGCAACAGCAGCAGTGGCGAGATGACGTATATGTTTGCAGGGTACAAGCTGTCAGTGGATCAGGTGCTCAGGCCCTCTGCCTCCTTCTTGTGCCAGCCATCCCTCATTGATAGCGAACTCGGAGGGGCATCCTGCATCGCTGCAACAGCAGCAAAAGCTGCAGCAGCAGAGCAGGTTGAATCCGCAGCGCGTAGACGGGGCTTCGCCGGCGCTGCGGCAGCTGCTGCAGCTGCTGCAGCGACAGCGGTGGCAGCAACTGCGGCAGCCGGAGCTGCTTCTGGAGAAACAGAAGAACCAGCACCAGCAGGAGCATCACCACCAGCACCAGAAGCAGCACCAGCAGCTGCAGCAGGAGCTGCAGCAGCACCTGGTGACGCCGCAGGGAAACGAGACGCAGCAAACTCCCAGCTGGTGGATCTCTTCTGGGGGCGTAGCTCTTCTGCAGGGACGTTGTTGCTGTGTTCCCCTAAAGACGCATGCAAAGAGGCACCTCTAGAGGCTCCAGGAGCAAGCAGCAGCATCTGGGTAGCAGCAACAACTCTGTCGCTTGTGTGGGATGAAGCCTGGCCAGACGGCCTCCTGTTGGCTCTCATGGCGGAGCTGAAGAGCTCGCGGGACTCAGCTCTTTCTTCGCCTCACCCCCTCACTGCGAAGCAGTTCCTACAACTTCCCCTCCCACCTATTCCCTCCGAGGGAGCCCCCGGTGCAGCTGCAGCAGCAGCACCAGCAGCAGCAGCAGCAACAACAGCTTCAACCCCAGCCGTCTGGCAATTCAGAATGCGGCTAGATAGCGACGGGACGCTGTTGGTTCCCCCTATGAATCTGTGGGAGTGGGGGAGCCCTTGGTGGCCGTCTGTGTCGCAGCAGCACATTCTGCAATCCTTGGGGCGCATGCGTGTGTCTTACTTCCGTCAGGGGCCCTCCGAAAGGGGGCCCCACAGCTCCAGCTCTCGAGCAGAGGCAGCAGGAGCAGCGGTAGCAGCACCAGCGCCACCAGAATCAGGAGAATTAAGTTGGTTCTTTGCTGATGCCATCGCAGGCCTCGAGGTGCTCAGTACAGATCATTCAGACAGAAGCCATGCCCATAGGCCGACGGTATGTACAAAGTGTTGTTGTTATACTGCAGCTCCCGTTGCTGCATTTCTCCTTGCTGCTGCTTCGGCTGCTGTTGCTGCTGCTGCTGCTGCGAATATGGATTTCACTCGCGATTCTTTGCACGCAGCTTCGCCCCGGGGCTGTGGGGTCCAAGCCCGGGGTTATCTGTACACCCGAACCTGCAGGTGTGCTTGCACAGAAGACGAAGGCCCCTTGCATGTGTATACGGTGTATGTTCAGGGTCTCGCGAGCTTAGCGCGTGAGCTGTCTGCTGAGGTGCCTGAGGATGGGACAGAAGACGATGAAGACTCCACGGGATCGGTTCCTTCAGAAGGAACCGCCCCAGCAGCCTCCGTGCTGCTGTCCGAAGGGGGGAGAGGCCCTGGGTTAAGCGGCTCCATGCGGCCAGTAGAGCCTCTTGAAGACGCGCTGTATCTCTGCTGGCAGGCGTATGCGACCTGCGCTGTTGCTGCTGCAGCCGAAGCTGCTGCCACCCCAACCCCTGCACAGTCTACAGCACCTGCCGCCGCAGGGCACAGCCCTGGGAGATCCAGCAACAGCAACAGCAGCAGCAGCAGCAGCAGCAGCAGCAGCAGCAGCAACGCCCGTGTCACGTTTCCGTCATGGCCGTTAGTGCCGCTGCGTGCCCTCGTATCTCCTCTGGCGTATGCAGTAACGTTTGAGGTATTAGGCGTTTTCTTCCGCAGCGCGCTAAAGGCAGCAAACCGCGCAGCAGCAGCAGCAGCAGCAGCAGCAGCAGCAGGGAGTTCAGGAGGGGATAGCGAAGGGTCTGCTGCAGCAGCAGCTGCAGCAGAAGCCGCTGGAGCTGCTGCGTTTCAGCTCTTGTGGCCTCCGCACCCTCGTGAACTCCACCGGGCGCTCTTGTGGAGGCTCGAACTTCTTCACTGCCTAGATACGAGTGTTAGTTTCTTCTTACCTTTGCTGAGTCGGCCGCGCCTTCCTCATCTTTGTTGTCCCTGTCCGCTTCCCACAGCCGAGCTGCCCTTAGCTGCTGCATCCGGAGCAGCAGCAGCAGCAGCAGAAGATGATGCAAGCGGTTCTTCCCAAGGCGCCATCCTGCTGGCAAGGCCCAGCCGCTGTGTGTTTGGCCCCACAGTGGCGGACCCGTCGAGGCCCCTTGACTCTGCATGCACATGGGGCCTCATGGGGGGCCGCCTTAAGAGCTGGCGCCGCAACAGCAGCAACAGCAACAGCAGCAGCAGCAGAGGTAGCAGCGGCGGGAACATTCTGGGCCCGCCGGTGTCCGTGGTGGAGGGGCTGATAAGCCGCATGCGCGACTTGATACTGCCTTCGCGGCGGGCCTCAGCATTCAGTGCTTCCTCTCTGTGGCACTGTCGGCTGCTGGAGAGACGGAGGGGAGGGGACGCCTTCAGTGCAGAGGAGCGGCTGTGTACACCTCCCTCGGTAGCAGAGCAACTCTCCTGGGGCTGCGTGGCTGCCCCAAGGGATGTGCTGCTGCAGCGCCACTGGGGGGCCCTTGCTGCTCTTCTTGCCATCCGAGGCATATACCCTGAGGCCCCTGCACCGCAAGACCAAGAGGCCTACTGCCCTCGCGTGGGAGCGGGAAGTCTCTCTCTCGGACGAAGTTTGCCTGGAGGCGCATCAGCAGCAGCAGCAGCAGCTGCTGCTGCTGCTGCTGCTGTGGAAGGCGGCAATGGTGTTGATGAGGACGTGTCACTGCTACCTGAAGCAGACTTCGCGTCTTCACTCGTTAACCAGCTGTCGCAGCAGCTGCTGCGGATCCCTTCTACATCGTTACTGGCTCTGGAGCGCTGCTTTTCTGTGGAGTTGAGAGGCGAGGGAGCGCAGGATTTGGGGGGCCCCTATGCTGAGGTGCTCAGCGCCTTATGTGATGACCTTATAGGTAACCGCCTCTTTATACCGTCTAGCAACGCCCGAGCAGGTGTTGGAGAGGGCAGAGACTTCACTGCAGTTAATCCTTTGCTGCGGGACCTGCTAGTGCCTGCAGCAGCAGCAGCAGCAGCGGCAGCAGGCGCTGCTGCTGCTGCGCCGGGGGGGCAGCACCACGGCACTGTTGCCTTCTGGGAGGATGAAACTGCTCTGGGGGTCTTCGGGCCCGCCTCCTTAAATGCGGCTCCAGCTCCCCTTCCTTCTCTCCTCGCCGACGCCCCACCGTTGCTGGTTGCGCCACCCCAGCTGAGTCCTACAGCAGATGATGCAGCAGCAACAGCAGCAACAGCAGCAGCAGCAGCTTCAGGACCCCTGGCGCTGCTGCTGCCCCAAGTGCAGCAGCAACAGAGAGACTACGGGATGTTAGTTGGGTCATTGCAAGAAGAAACGGAAGAGGATGCTGAGAGTTCACTTCTGAGTTTCTGGGGTTTGTCTGGTCTTACGGTGTATGGACAGAACGTTGCGCGAGCACTACAAGCTGTAGGCGTCTTGATGGGGTGTGCTGTCACTTCAATGAGTCCTCTAAATCTGTCTCTTACTCCAGCCATTTGGACGCTGCTGCTGGGGCACCACCCGCCTCCGGATCTCTTGCTGCAGCAGGACTTGCTGGCAGCAAAACACCTCCGCAGGCTGCTGGCGCCCATTGCTGCAGCTGCTGCTGCAGCGGCTGCAGTGGACGAAGCGCCATCATCAGCTCCAGGCAACAGCCCTCGGGAAGTAGTTTCGGCAGCTGCTGCTGCAGCAGCTGCTGCGGCTGCTGCAGAGGCAGCAGCAAAGGCAGCTGCTGCATCAGGCGAGGATGAAGAAGAAGCACGAGAAGAGGCTGCTGCCGCTGTGCAGGTTCTGCTGCAGCGCGGTGCCTGCATTGATGACTCTGTTGGCAGGCCGCTGCCGCTCGCTCCCTCTTGGGAGCGTTTGCGTCTACGCCCGCAAGACCTCCCCGCCATCTTAGACATCGAGCAATATGCAACGGTAAGGGAATATGTACTGGTTTTGTTTCTTTTAAATTACTATAGCCACTGTCTGCTGCTTTTGATGCTAACAGCAGCTGCTCTTGCTGTTTTATCTTTCATAACCTACGGTGCGTTTCGTTCGCTCCTTACTGCCTTCTTTTGCTCTGTCTCTGGTGTGTGCTGCCAGCTGTCTGAGGGGTTCGAGGCTGTCTCCCTCCTTGCATGGGGCCTCCATCAGCTCGTACCGCGCCCTCTTCTTAGAGCGTTGCTGCGCCCTGACGATCTCCGACTGCTTGTCTGCGGTGACCCCGACATAGATGTGGAGCTGCTGAAGGTAAATGGCTGCTGCTGTGCTGCAATGTTGGGGTTGTTGGCACTATGCTGCTTCTTTCTATGGATTATGTCTCACTTCTCAGAGCTCTACTTGTTGAGCTTTGGGTGGGGCTTTGCTTTGCTCCTGTGGACTGGTCTAGGGATTGTTCACGTGTTTGCTGCTGCTGCAGTTGTATGCATCTTATTAGTTCTCAGAACGGGGTGTCTTGTTTCTTATTTCGTTTAGAGCAACTGGATGATGGTGAATGTATACTGCACATCTGTGGTGCGTTGTGTACGTACAGCGGAACTGCAAAGTGGTCTGGGACCGCTGCAACGACAGAGAGCGCCAGCTAGTGGGTTGGCTGTGGGAGGCTCTGCAGGGATTCAGCGCTGCAGAGCGGCGCCTCTTTTTGCGATTTGTTTCGGGGCGATCTCGGGTGCCGCAGGGCTGGACTTTGGGTAGTAGTGCAGGGAGTGATGCCTTCCCAACGCGGAAGTTCGAGCTGCATATCATGAGGTGCATCATACATAACACAGAATGCGTACAAGGCAGTTTGCTACAAAGCAAGAATAAGGAACAAATGCAGATAATAGAACGTGTTGCATTAGGCGGAACTCCCACACACGTCGCTTCCTGCTCAGTGCATGCATTCACAGACTTAGTTGCTGTTTGTCGGTGTAGACAGCACATCTAGCTCCGGGTAGTGATGAACAGCTGCAACACTGCATCACAAGCGTGCAGGGTACTGAAGCGTGTGGCGAGTGACCTAGTTGCATGTGTATTCGTTGCTTTGGTGTTTGTATTATTCGCAGAGACGAAGAGGCGCTGGAAGCGGTAGACACATCTTTCTCGGGCCCCCGGCAGGTTTCTGGGCAGCGCGTGGACGACCGTCTTCCCTCAGCGAGCACCTGTTTTTTCATGATGAAGCTTCCAAAGTATTCTTCTTTTGCTGTACTGCAGACCAAACTACGCACAGCCATTACCTCTTGCTTTGAAATAGATCTCGATGCCATGCATCACAACGCAAACGCCCAACACCATGCGGGATGACAACGCGCTGGATGCTATAGCTGCAGCAATACCAGCTGCAGCAATACCAGCTGCAGCAATACCAGCTGCAGAAACGCCAGCTGCAGTAACAACGGCTCCAGCAACAGCTGCTAAGCAGCAGCTTTTTCTTGAAAATGTCGTAGTTGTCTGCTGTCTGCAACTAAGGGAGAGCGAACAACTGGAGCTTTTTTATTAAAAATTGCAATTTTACTCGGGCAGTTCTGTTGCAAAAACAAGGCGTTCAGATCAGTCTAGGCCCATGCAAGCACAGCAGGATGTGTGGATAGGTTGAGGCAGGACGCTGCGTGCAGTGTTGTATCAGCGCTGTAAATCTGCGTTAGATGTAACACAGTAGCGCCAGCAAACTGGAAGTGGGTATTTCATGGTTATGATTACGCCCAGAATTTAATCTCTTAGGCTCTAAGAATTGAAATTATCCGGCGTTTCTGCGGCCAACCGACGGTTAAGGCAGACGCTAAGCCTACAAATTATGAATTAACAGTGCAGGGTGCCCTAAAGTATTGAAAACAGGACACACCTTGTTTGAGAAAACGAAGTCGAACCCCTCTCGCACCCATAGCGCATTCACTTGCAGAGATGGGAGTAAAACCACATCACAGCACGCTCTGCTACTAACGAGAACGACAATATATGACAGTAGCAACTGTAGCTCTAGTTGCATTTTTTACGACGAATGTACAACTCCAGAGAAGGGAGAAATCCCTCCTAACGCGCACATCGCAGGGCACGCCATATATCGGCGGCTGGCAAGGACGGAGGCATTCCTCAATATATATTTTCGCTGCAAAAGGCATCTGCCCTTGGATGGGAAGCAGATACCGCGGGTGCTGCATCGGCAAGAAGCGACCAGCCATTTGGGATTTCCCCCCAGAGGGCAGAGCCTGATCAGTTTCCACTTCCCTACAACAGAAAGGGGGCTGTACTTTCTCCACAGATCTTTGAGAGTCTCTATAGATCTTTTTTGCAAAGTTTTTTTTCTTACGTGTCAGTGATATCTCAGTGCTATGCATGAGGACCCCCCCTATAGTTGGACAGTCCGCTGATTTCATCCGCCCGGAGAAACCGTGCGGTGTTACCAACTGCAGGTTATCGTCGATCCTAGCTGAGAACCGTCGCGAGCTGCAGTGCAATCAGAGGCGTCGGATAATAGTTACCAAAAATCACTTGAGTTCTCCTCCAATCCTCATTTGTTCTGCGCGGCAACCAACGGGCCTACGCCTCATAAGGAAAGGAAGCGGCCTCTCATGGGGTGTGATGCACCGTGCTGAAATAACTAGTGCTACAAGGCGCCCCAACATGCATATACAACGGAACCCTTTCTACTGCATGTACTAGCTCTGTAGACACTGGTTAAACTATTGCTAGGCCTTCATTAGCCAGCTTGTACGCAAGTAGAAATACATGTTCGAACTTCACAAAGAACATGCTATAAAGTAACTATATTACTAGAGTATTCAATCTTATCCGGGGACCTTCATGAGCTGTCATCGAGCAAGAAGCCGTAAGGTAAGATCTAAATAATAAAACAGATATCCTTTCTTTTCCAGGCTTAGCATGCCTCGGGCATATGTCTAAGCCAGGGAAGGCGGGCAGCGCAAATCGTTACGACCAATGCTGCTATGTATCCGCACATGCAAGAACAACCGAATATCGCTTTTTTGTCCGCACTAACAATGTAGATAATTCCCGCGCTGCTGCTTGCCCGCAGACTGCCCACTACGGCAAAGTCAGTTCAGGAGGGAACATGTTACATCTTACGTTTTCTTTGCCCTTCCAATGCACGCAATACTGCTTTAATAAATTGTTAATCAATTACTAAGGTTCCACTACCGAGCAATCACGCATACATGGGAGCATGCACTTACTTCTGAGACACAGGGCTACTCGGTTCTTCACACCGCTGCACATTGTAAAAGGTATTAGAACAGAGTAGTCCTTTACGTCTGTAAAGTTGACAATGACTCATGCAGTTATCTTTAAAATATAAAACTTAATGCAGCTGGACAATACGGACGTGGCTTCGTGAAACTGGAAGGATTACGAAGATGCCCGCCTGGCTGCGGGGAAGGAAGGTTGGGGCTTTTTGGGGGGCAGCGCGGGCGGCTGCCGCTTCAGTGTCCAATGGATCAAAATCATCGGGTTTCGAAGAAAAGTAAGCCCTTGTTCTTTTTTTTTGCAGGCAGACTTGAGTTTCTCAAGCGTAGTCTGTCCAGAATTGAACGACTGCCCTCCGATTTCCGTGGGTGACGTCCCAGGTGGGCTGTGCGCCAGCCGCCACAGAACCAGTTCCCGCCTGAATTCCGCTCGGCATTTCGGTAAACTTCTAGGAAATGAAGCCAGAGTGGAAGCAATGGCTCTTAATTGCCGGTGCGTGTAGCAGCAGCAGCTGCCCCTCCCCCCACGTTGCAACCGCTTCCGCTGCCTTCGCCAGCAGATTCTTCTCGTTCTGATTTTACTTGTCCTGGTATATACCCGTATTTGGTTATAGCAAAGCACCTGTTAGCCATATCTGCACAGGAGATGAGGAGGAATCGCCCTTTGGTTTGTCATTTTGTAGGGCGGGGCTGGGTCTTGATATGCTGTCTTGATGTCCCATACAAAGACAATGCTGCTGCATCGTCTCTTTCAATCTTTTCCGCCTAATCTCGCCTCTCGAAATACTGCTCAACAGCCTTTTCAGATTTTAGTTGTTATAAGGGACGCAGTCTCTCCCGAGCCTTCCGAAACAGATGGATGCGCGTCGTTGAGCTGCGACACCATAAGCCGGTTTCCATGTGTGATATTCCATTTCAGTGGCTTGCGACCGACGTCAATGAGTGCATTCGCCTTTAATTTGTTTTTTTAGCTGCTGGGATGACAGCATTGGGCCCTGACGCCTGATGAGGCAATAACTTGCTGTGAAAGGCGAGTAACTGATTGCAGACGTCTTCTTGCATGGTTTTCTGTTTCAGTGGTCTTCTCAAAGCCATACCACTTTATTGGCGTCTTCGTATTAGTGTTGTAGCTGCTCGGATGAAAGCATTGGGCCCTGACGCTTGATGAGGCATTGATTTGCTTGGAAAAGCGAATAACTGACCGCAGACCTCCTCTTGCACGGCTTGTCTTTCCACTGTTTTTTCTTCAAATTCGCACTGGTTTTTGTATTTATTTTACCATTCGATGTTTGTGGTTTTTTAAAGCTTCTTTCGATGTTGCTGATGATAGCATTGGGCGCCGAAACTCATGAGGAGGCGTTTATTGTGCATGAAGCACCTGAGGGCACCAACTCGCATTCAAATCGAAATATTTTACTTTGCAGCGTTGGCCATACATATATATATATATATATATATATATATATATTTTCTGATGCGGTTCCATAGTGCATATCCAGTGCCGCTGTGATGATAGCATTGGGCTCTTACGTCATTCTTGGGGAGCTTTTTTTTCGCCTTCAGAAAGCGAATGACTGATTCAAGCGGCTGCTTCCCTTTGTGTGTTTATGTGGCTACTTGAAGTTGCATCAACGTGCAGTTTGCATAGTGTTTTTGCTGCTCGGCAGGGACGTAAAGTTGTGCACTGTTACGAGCATTGCTTGCAGGTGGGGCGGCGGCAACTGGTGTCGCACTGTATTACCTGCTTAGAGAGGAAGGGCCAGGTCGCAAGGAGAGTGAGACGGAAGCGAAAAAGTTCAATACAAATGAGGTAAGCGGCACTTACAAGTTGTTCTGAAGAACCTTCCAGTGCGTCTGCACATGCATGCACACACACTTTTATCGTTGTGCGTATCTATTAAGCCAGTTTCTTTTGTGCGTTGGTTGCCGCAAGAGGATATAGAAGGGCCGTGTTCGGTGCGAGTTGTGTTCCCTGCAGGCAACAAAGGAGCAGGTGCTGATGGTGCTCCGAGATATCCTGAGCACTCAGGAGAAGATGAAGGGGCTGATGAAGAAGTTCACGCAGAAATTTGTCGAAGAGGATTACACGTAAGTGAGCAAAGGAGAAGCAGCTCGGGAGCTTCTATTCTTTGGGTCAGTTGGCATTCGTCTGTCATTATTGTGCACTGTTCGTAGTTTATTTATTGGGCTTGTGACTCTATGCTTTATTTTCTATTTTTTGAGGGTGCTGCTTGCAGCTTTGAAGAGGCTTGCGCCATGGTGGCGAAACAGCACCCAGAAGATCCGCTGAGCCGCTACGGCTTGACAATGGCTACTTTTGATGGACTACTTGACAAGTTCCAGCAAGAACCTGAGGTGAAGGCCGCAGTGCTGAGCATAATGGGAGCCGCCTCAACCCCAAAGTAAGCGCGCGGAAGGATTTTTAGCAGGCTTCTCCACTCTAGTGTACGCGGGTACGGGGAGAAGCGGTGCCCTTGATGATTACTTTGTGGGTTCTATCAACTTTTGTCGCAGAAGGCATTAATGCGCAATAGGTGTTCTTTGTTTTTCTCGTGCGTTTCAGTCCCAGCCCGGCAGCCTACCAGATATCAACAGACCGTCTGATCAAGGTGCACGAGTTCATGAGGGACGAGTTGCAGAGCTTGACAGCCGAGGCTGGGTCGTGGCCCAAAGCTGACACCAAGGTTATAACCCTGGCTGCCCAGGCGTACGTGGGTGCGAAAGTACAGAAAAAGTTTGGCTTGTCTGGCGAGGATATTGAGGGTGCAGTGCTCCTAAACCACAAGGATCTTGCATCGAACGCGAACTTCACAATGGTCAACATCGCCATACAGAAGACTATGAACGATTTGATCGATGCAGACGCGTAGCGATTCCTCAAGAATAGCACTGCAACGATGTTACAGCGCGCCAGCTGCGCAAACCAACACAGTGGGGGCAGGCGGTGTTTGCTTTCGCCGTGTGCCCCTCGGCGTGGGGCATTTGGCAAGCCTTCGGAGCGCGTGCATCTGACCTGCTGCGCAGCCCGGAGGTTCCGGTGGGTTGAGTTGGATGTTTGCGTTGTTTATTGTGGAGGGGAAAGTATCCCTATAGTGATGAAAATTAATAGTTGGAAGGAGTGGCGAGGAACTGCGTGCAGTCTACCAGCTGCGTGAAGTACATTATCAAGGATGTCAAACTTTTTGCTCAATTTTTCAAGCGTTGTAAGACCGAGTTGCTTATGCGGCTTGGAGCTTGCTGTCCAACGCATGTGTGTTATTGAAGAACGTAACGAATGTATCCGAGGGTCCTTTATACTTTTCGTGGTGATGCTGCACATTTTGTCCGCGCCATGGGACGAGAAAACAGAAGAGCTTTGCTCTTTTGAACAGACTTGAGATGGGATTTTTTCAATACATCTTTGCTTTAAGCGAAATCCCTGACGGAGGTAGATGCTTCGGATCCATGCGTCGTAGTTAGACGATTTTGTCGCTGCTGGCGCGCCGTCAGGCGTTACGTTGAACCTTGAGGTTCTCTCTCTCATCTCTCGTGGAGGTGATTAGTGATTTATTAGTGTACCTGATATGCATTTTCCTTCTCACCGTCTCTGGGTGACGGTTTATTTTCTCGACCATATTCCTTTGCCCCGGGGCCTCAACCCGGGTCCAATTTGTCTTCAAATTGTACCTGAAAACTACAGTTGCTGTTGGCCGTTTGTTAAGGACGGAGGCACAACAATTACATTCCTGCTTAAGGAAAGGCGTGCCTCTGCCTACTTTCCGGACCGCACGCAGACTAAGGAGGCATTTTGACAGGCGTTTCAATCTAGTTTCGTCCCAGCTCGGTAGGGAGAGAAGAATTAGTAGAATACAGAAACGCGAAAGCAACGGAACTACCGGTCGCCCGACACATAGCAGCGTATGTCCTTTGGGTGTAGATGCCCAATAGTGGACTAGGCACTTCTAGATAGCGTTTCATTCACTCCAAGGTTATCCATTGGGGAGAGCCAACTTGTTATCGGCTGGGCAGCTGAGGGGGGCATGAAGAGCAAATTGATGGAGCTCGCTTCGTTGGTGAAAAGAGAACAAAGGGCAATCCCACCGCCCTAGATAGCACTCCTTTAGCTGAGAAAGCCGGGGAAATGACGATTAGCTCGGCTGTAAGGCTACAATGTTTCGGAAATTTGGCCTGCCCATGGGAAAAGGAATAAAATAGTAAACGGTAACAAGGCTCCGGGAAGGGATGGAGATGCCGTGATAGTGACAAGCGGAAGGATGAACAGTGTTGGCACGGAAGCATGGCAGTCAGGTAGATCTTTTGGCCTTCATTGAACCTGCGGCTCTACGAAAGGGATGTTGTGCATGAGAACAGCACCGGTGCACCCCCACCGTGAATGCCTAACTCTGTTTGTCAAAGGCCGGGAAGCTGAAGTCGTGGTTGATGCTACGGTGCATTGGTACAACTTCTCTCAAAGTAGCTTCCGGCTGGATTTCCACAGTTCTGTACCAACCTCACCCTCGAAGCAGCCCCACAGTGTGTTATAAGCTACCCTTGATTTTGAAGTGGGCGTTGGGGGACAGGCGGACGAACTGCAAAGCACGGATCAACCATCTACTAGCCAGCCCCTTGGGCACAATCCGCAGATGGCGAAAATGAACGACGAAGGATGCGCGCATGCATATCGGATGAAAAGCCTGTATGCTGAACACAAGGGCTTCGTTTCCGCGACTCAACGAGTGACTGAACAAAACTGCGGTGGTTGAATTCGCCACCGCATTTTTTCATATTCCAGTGCACGGCGAAGACGGGCAAAGTATTGAGTTTAGTAATGGCACTTGCACTCTAGAATACACATCTAAGTTGTTTGGTCTCGTGGATGACTTCAGCAAATTGCAAGTGCAGCACAATCAATCGGTTGCTGGGGCCACTCAATGGGGTATGGATGGTGATCTGAATGAAAGATGTACAAGTGCTCAGCTGGAGCGTGTAGACGTAGTTGCAGCGCCCCTAGAAAGACGCTAACACGCGTGAAAATCGGAGAATTAAGCGGGGCTAATGAAAAATAATTTCTATGCTTCTCCCGTGGAGTGTACACAAGCGGCGAGAGTACCTTCAGAGAGAGACATCCACTGCAACAAAAAGGCCGTCAATCAAGGATACACCTGACGAAATGTTATCAAGATCAGATAGCAAGAGTTTTTATGTTTTCTTCGTTGCTTATGAATTCCGGGTTCACAGTCAGGTGTATAAAGGCGATTAACTCCAGCCTACCGATCAGCTACTGTGCTTCGCCAGTGTGGTAGTATGTGATGCATGCTATACTTGAACAATTTACTCTAATTTGAGCAAATGCATCAAAAAGCATTCTCGCAATGTTTGCCTTTTCGGTTCATCCTGCTGCACTGCAAGGCCCAACTCCTTCTGTATAGACCAAAGAAGACATAAATAAAGTACGAATAGAACCAATAGAACGCATTGTGTTCAGATAATTTGCATAGTCAGCAAAGTGAAGAATCCTGCATGATATGACAGTAGATCCAAATTATTATGTATAAGGGCTTTCGTCCGTGCTTGAGCGCTAGCTCTTGCAATCAAGCATATAATCCCTCCATTCTAAATACTTCTTTAACTTAAAAAGACCTCTGTTCCATATTTTGTCTAAGTTGCAGCTCTCGAAGGTCAAGAGGGCTATGGCGAAGTAATCCCACGACTGAAACAGAGCACTCGCTACTCGTTTATTCACTAAGAAAAAAGGAATATAACATTCATTCTCGTACACATGATTGACTCCTGATTCGTTATATAGGAGGATTCAGTCGAGACTGTTAGGGAGAGCACTGAAGAACGACAGCATTAAGAAAGCGCAGCCGACGAACGCTAAGAGTCACATCTCACCATGCACCTAAACAACCAACCCAACAATAATAGCATTTCAAAAAGGATCTATCTTTGTTATGGAGAATATTCAGATGTTCTGCGATGCTGCCAAACCACCAAGGATGAAAATGAAGAGCAGCGATAACAAAGAATCTGCACGCGTGCCGCAGCTTGTGCTAAGATACGGTAATAGAGAATACTCGCAGTTTTCATATGTAATGAATATGCGATTTTACAGCTAGTTTATATCAATTGTATCAGCAACTTGTACTTGTTTCGTGGTATGCATGATCAGCCTTCAATAGAGGGGAAGAATACCCAGAGGGGCCCCTCCTTCGGGGCTTTGGTTCCGCCCCACGTTAGATGAATTCGGGATTGCTGTCTTCTCTTTTTCTTTTTTACCCTATTCAAATAAGCGACTTTTTATGCGCTTTTAACACATCTTTAGGGGGAGATTTCGCTCTTGGAAAGGGGGGGAAAAGGAGGGTCTTGTAAGGCACCCGGGTCGAGGCATCATCGAGATCTGTCCTTCCACACTATAATTCACTGATTTACTACTAAAAACTCCTATTTTTACCTGTGAAAAACACCTATATTTGATTTCTGGCGTTTCGTTTCAGCATTTCTTTGGGTTACAGGTGTGCGCATAAACCCCGGCGGATGTGTCCACCTTTCCCTGCACTGACCGTTCAGGCTTGTCAATAGTTTTTCATTTGTTTTTTGGCAGTGGAGGACGCCCAACTGGCTCTGTTTCTTCGAAGCGTGCGGATTATACTCGCACCGCTTTCTTCTTTTTCGTCGTCTTCTTATCTTTTTGCTTGCATAATCATTTTTCCCCTTAAAACAAAATGTATTTCCCCTCCTTCGGCGGATCGCCCGCTGTGCCCTCAGCGGCATTGCCCAATGCTGTTCCAAAGAAAGGCGAAGAGGGCGACAGCATTACTGGAAAATGTGAGCCGAGAAAACAAATATTTTCCCCTCTTCCACGCCTACAAGAACCCCTTTCCCTGTACTCCCTCAATCAAAAACAATTAAGGCATTTCTGCTGCATATTCTTCTTTTAAATGAAGTCTGTTTCTGTCTATGGCGATACCTGCAGCCTATCCTTACACCAAGATGAGGAAACTTGCGCTTTGTGAATCTCCTAGGCGTGTTCCTGCAACCCTATCGTGCCACTTGTTTCTTTCATTTGTAGGTTGTCGTTCGCATTTCTTTTATTCGTTTCATGTTATACTTCATCTTTCTTCTTCTGCTATTATGCTTGCTGCTGGCTACAGTTGACCCCACTGCCTTAGAACGCGGTGCAAAGGCTCTCAAAGAATTAGACAGCAGCCCCAATGCAGCGCGGGCTTTCGAGGTGATAAAACTGCAGGAGATGACGAAGCAGAAAGAACTCCAAAAAGAAATGGAACAGGTAGGAAGTGTACAGCTGTTTATTTGCTATGTATATATATATAATACAAGCATTTGCAAAATAACAAATAAAGTATATGAATGAGCACTTGCATCCGTCCTTTCTTGCTACTCGCTGTAGGGTTTCACCACAGCAAAGGTTTAGTAGGCATAATAGACCTCTTATTAGCTGCTTCCTGTCTTGTGCTTGTTACTCAGATTGCTGCTGCTCGGGCTCAAGCCCAAACAGAGAGAACACGAACAGAAGGAGAAGAGAGAAGAAAGACAATCGATCACCAGCAGGAGCAGGAGAGGGTTACCGCGCAGTATAAAGCAAAACTCGAGGCGTAAGATGGCTACACGCAAATCTTATCATATATCGTTCTTCTTATGAGTAGTTATTACTTGTTGTTATGTTGTGGATTGTTTTATTCTTGTTATTTGTTGTCCAGTTCTTCTCTCATTATATAACTCGTTCTTTTTCCTATTGTTCAATGTTTTTTCCCATTATTATGACAAACTATTTTTCTCCTTCAAGAGGAATGGCGAGAGACGTCTCGTGAGGTTATTCATATTTTTAAAGATGCAGATCAAGGCTCTGCATATGTGCATGCAGATGTTTGCATGCCTGAGTGAAGGATGCATGCGCAGCAGAGTTGTTATGAGCGTTCGTACTTGTGTTTTTATAGGTAGCACCACCAAAGCCAGTCTCTGTATCCGTCCTTTCGTTCTTGTTTGTCTGTTTTCTTTCTTCTTACTGATTTATTCTGATGCATGTCCACGTGTTCTCTTTTCTGTTACTCCGTTTGTTGTTGCAATAAGACGGGTAGAAGGTTTCTATCTTTCTATCTTATTTCTTTGGAGCGTCTCTGCTTTTTAAATGATTTCTATCATTGTATTTCCTTGTGGTTTTGTACCTAAAAGGAACGTAGACCGGTAGCCATCATCGTTTATATCCACACTGCACTCTGCCAATGAGTATAACTATCATTTCTTCCCTTTGAAATGATTGATTTCTCGCAAGTTTATGAGTACATAGAAGCCGCGCATGCACAGGCGTATGCCCGCCTAATACTAACTTGTGGACTAGTGTATTCAATACTGTATGTAACGTTTGTATGGGGCTGTAACCTCAGGCACACTGGCTTGTTTCTTCTTTGGGGTTTCATGTAAATCCTGTTTGCGTGTTTATTCGCTCGTACATCTTTTCTTTGGATTTGCATTATATTCATTTTGTTGTTTTTCTGTTTTTTTCTCTCTTACCTTCTACTGTGCTTTGGCTGTTTGTACACCACCGGTTTCATAGGGAGGCGTATCAAAAGAAATTGCAAGATCAACAAAGACAAAACGAGGAGTGGCTGCGACAGCAACATCAGCAGTTCTTAAGGCAAGAAGAACAGAGAAAGAAGACAGAGGCTGTGAGCAGCTGTAACAAACAATAGGCCGCCTTTTCATCTGAATGATATATAGTAAACAACCATAGTAATATTACTATTGTTACTACTCTTATTATTATTACTAGTAGTAGCAGTATTAGTATTAGTATTATTAGTAGTATTATTATTTGTTGCAATGCCGATTATATGTGCATGCGGGTATATATGCAAGCCATACGATACTGCAAAGAAGCACATAGCAACCATGAGAGAACCCCTGTCTACTTAAACTGTTTTTTCTTCTTCACTGTGTACAGTCTTGGCAGCTGCAACGCGTTAGATGATTTTAAAGAGCAAATGATTGTTTTGCGTCTGTCTTTGGCTAAATTGGGTCTTAGGAAATGCTGGAAATGAGGCGCCAGCAAATGAGAGAAGAAAAGGCACTTGAACAAAAATTGCAAGCCGACAGAATCCGTGAGGAAGCAAAAGCGAAAATCTTGCAAGAAAGAGAAAATATAGACGTACACCTCAGGTAAGCAAGAAGGAAAAAATATGAATGGATACCTGAAGTGAGGTATGCCAACGGCATATATATGCAGATATACGATATTATATATATATATATATATATATTCTCTACATATGTACGATATTACATATGCATATATACACGATATCATATATATATACATATATATACGATATTATATATATATATATATGGTTGTGTTGTGTTGTGCGTAGAACTTTGCGTGCCAAGGCAGCCGAGGACCGGAAGACGAAGTTGGAAAGTCTTCAAATGACATTTGGGTCGCTTGGCGGTGCATTTTCGCGTTTAATGTCTGATAAGGCGCAATTAACAACTCTGGTTTGTCTATTTGTTTGTTTGTTTGTTTGTTTGTTTGCCTTTTGGCCTCTCTTGTTTGTGTTTGATTTGGTTCTTTCTGCTTTGTTTTGTTTGCATGCACTTCTTTGAGGGATTTTTTCTTTCTTTTTTCTGTACATTCCTTCTCTGTTTCGCTTATTGCTTTTTATGCTGTGTTATCAGCTGCAGTTTTCTTTTCTTTTTGTTTGCACCTCACTGAGTTGGTGTATATATATATATATATATATATATCTTTTCTTGCTTCTCTATTTTTTTTCGTCTTTGCTTGTGAGATATATGGGCATATACACATGTGGTGATAGGGAAAGACCAGCAAACAGCTTTGCATCGATTTGCATGCAACAGCTTCTGTTCTGAGCCGTACGTATACCCTCCTCAGTATTTCTCTTTTATTCTCCTGCGCAGGTTGGAAGTCTCACTGCTTTAGCCGCTGGCGTTTATGGCGCAAGAGCAGCCGCCAGCCTGGGGGCCCGTTACTTTGTAAGTCTTTAGGGTTTAAGGTTTAGGGATGAGGGTTTAGGGGTTTGCTGATTTAGGGTTTAGGGTTTGGCCTGGACGCATCTCTGCGATTATACGCAGTTGCAGTAATCGATAAGCAGCAAACCTTCGTTTTGTTCTAAGCCCAATGCAAAGAGGATGTGCCGTTTCTTTCTTCTCTATTAATTCATTTATTCCTTCTTTTATATTTCTGTCTTCTTTCTCTCCTTTATGTTTGTTGCTCCGTAGGAGGCACGAATGGGAAAACCCCCTTTGGTTCGGGAAACCTCTCGCTGGACATTTACTGTGAGGGTTTAGGGTTTAGGAATTAGGGCTTAGGCTTTACGCTTTTAGGGTTTAGGGTTTATCTGAATCTCCTGTTTTAAGATTTTAGGAACAGCATCAGAAGCAACAGTATAATATTCGCAGCAGAAGCAGCAGCAGCAGGGTTATATAATATGAACTGTTTACTGCTGCGTGTCTGTGCAGCGTTCATTCTTCTCTCCTTTGCGCTTTCTTCGGGGTCGGCGTCAATCTGCTGCTGCTGCTATTGAAGAGCGTTTGGTGTTAGAGAAAGAATTAAGCGAGAGGCTCCGCTGGACTACGAACTCTCTCTTAACAGCGAAACTTCATGGAATAGCTTTCAGACATTTGCTGCTCTACGGACCCCCAGGCACAGGAAAAACCCTCTTCGCCCGCACGTAAGCAAGCAAAAGAAACGAAAACTACTTATTACACATTGCCACCAGGTGCAGCAGCTGCTGCAGCACACCAGCAGCAGCAGCAGCAGCAGCAGAAGCATACAAGCAGCAGCATTAGCAGCGGTAGCAGCATCCGTTGTAGGAGCAGTAACCACAGCACTAGGCACTAGTGGCAGCAGCAGCAGTAGCTGCAGCAGGAACAGTAGCAGCAGCAGCAGCAGCTGCTGCTGCAGCAGCAGCAGAAGCAGCAGCAGCTGCTGCTGCTGCTTCGTCAGTGACAGCAGATGGCTGGCTGCAAAATCTTGTTGTTTTACTCACTGTTTTCGTTGCTTTGTTTTGTTTTCCTTTTCTTAATTTTTCTGTTTCTTGGGTGTTTGTTGCTGCTGCCTTTGCCTCTCTTTAATTTCTTTTCTGTTCTTTTCTTTTTGCTTTTGTTTGTTTGTTGTTTATGCATTTGCTTTATATCGAGGTATCGGCAAGAAATAACTTCCTTTTTGTTTCATTATCGCTGGTTTGTTTATCCATTTGTTTGTTTTTTGCTTTTTATTCGTTTGTATGTCTACATATACTTCTGTTTGTTTGTTGTTTATATTTATTTATTTGTTTTTTATATATTTAATTATTTGTTATTTGGTATTTGTATGAATTCATTTGATTGACCTTCCCTCGCCAGTTTGTCTCTTTGCTTATTTATTTATTTATTAGTATTTATTTATTTATATTTATCTATATTCATTTATTTATATTTATTAATATTTATGTATATTCAGGCTGGCTAGAGCGTCTGGTATGGACTATGCAATAATGACTGGGGGCGATGTGGGGCCCCTGGGGCGCGACGGTGCTGCGGAGATAAACAAATTGTTTGCTTGGGCGGAGAAGAGTAAAAAAGGTTTAATTCTTTTTATTGATGAAGCCGATGCCTTTTTAAGACAAGGAAGAGGCGCTGTTACTGCAGCAGAAGGCATCAGTGAAGATACAAGAAATGCTCTCTCTGCTTTTCTACACCATACAGGAACAGAAACAAACAAATTCTGCATCGTTCTCGCCACCAACTGCAAAGAAATACTCGATAGAGTAAGATACACAGCAGCAGCAGAAGCAGCAGAAGCAGAAGCAGCAGCAGCAGCAGAAGCAGAGAATACCATTAGGCAGTGTCTGTTTTTTTCGTATTCATAAAGCGAACCATATTGAATAAAATAAAAGTAAAATAATAGTAAATAGAATCATTCAAGCAGAGTTACGCCGCTCGTATCGCTAATAGCCCAACTCATACACACAATTTAAATGCAAAAGCCGCAAATAAACCCTAAATAAATAAATAAGAAAATAAATAAATAACATAAACCCTAGTAAAATAAATATTCAAAAACCCTAGATATATCAACACACACATAGGAGATGAATCAATAAATAAACACAGAGCCTTTGTGTTTACATATAATATATAAAAGGTAATACTAAGGAGACAGCAAATGCAGAAAAGTAAAATAAGAAGACAACAAATGCAAGAAAATAAAAACTGTTTTTTCTTTTGTTTTGCAGGCTGTCTTAGATCGAATTGATGAACAATTTGAATTCCCTCTGCCTGCAGCCCCCGAGCGTCTGCGAATGTTAAAACAATTTATGAGACGATATTTAGGTTTTGATGTAGCAGAGGAAGAGCAGCAGCAGCAGCAGCAGGATGGAACGGCGGATTCAAAGACGAGCACTAAGCAGCAGCAAGAAGCAGCAACAAAACAAACGCACAAGAAGAAACAAAAAGATATACAACTTGTTGTAGATAAGCAAATCGATGAAAACTATCTGAAGCATATGGCAGAGAAGACAGAAGGATTCTCTGGAAGACAACTCGCAAAGGTAAACCAACAAATGTTGCAATTAATGCACAGCAACAGCAGGAGCAGCAGCAGCGGCAGCAGCGGCAGCAGCAGATGCTGCTGCTGCTGCTGCTGCTGCAGTAGCGGGAGTAAAAGCAGAAGCAAATATCCAGCAGCAGCAACAGGAGCAGCAGCAGGAGATGCACAAGTGTTATTATAGTGTTATAAAAGCTTTATTAAGTACAGTACACAGTGGAAGCAAGACAGAGAGAAAAAATCCAAATAAAAATGCATGCAAATATAAAGCAGAAAGCGTAGAAAATATCTTTAATTGTGTTTATTATATTTATGTGTATTTCATTTATTTTTTTGTAGAAACGTGTTGTTGGTATGAAGTGATATCTAAGGATCTCCTTTTCTGTTTTGCTGTTGC